CTGTGTCCAATCACATTTCTACACAGCTGTCTGTTCTTCATGAAAACTAAGCATTAAAACATAACTTACTCACGGTCTTGGGATCGTCATTCTAAAGGCTCTCATGTCACATAAAAATTTGATTAAATAGCATGGTGGCTCAAGCCTGTAATCCCAGCACTTTGGGAGGCTGAGGCGAGAGGATTTCCTGAGACCGGGGGTTCAAGACCAGCCTGGGCAACCTGGTGAGACCCCGTCTCTACAATAAAAAAAATTAGCTGGGCATGGTGACACATGCCTGTCATTCCAGCTACTTGGAAGGTTGAAGAAGAAGGATCACCTGAGCCCAGTAAATTGAGGCTGTGGTGGCTACGTGCATGCTACTGCACTCCAGCCTAGGTGACATGTTGAGGCTCCAACTCAAAAAAAAATTTTTTTTTAATTAAATAAATTTGTTATGCTTTTCTCTTGTTAGCCTGCCTTTGTTATAGGAGTGCTGGCTCTGATCCTTACTATGGGTAAGGAAAGGTATTATACCTTTTCCATCCCTGCAGGGCTCAGGACACACTACCCCAAATATGCCTCTATGGCAGAAGGATTATTTTGAGAAACTGCAGGCAGAAACAGGAGAAGAGCAGTTAGCCTTTTGTAAGAGAAGTTTATATCTACAAAGAAAATCTCCATTCCTAAGGGTAGCTCCCTTTCTGAAGCAGGAAAAGAAATAACTAGAGAAGTCATAGATGTAAATATGCATTAACAAATCTTATTCTTTGTTTTACAGTGCTTTTCCTGGTCATCTCAGCTTGGCCTTTCCCCATATCCTTTTTTCTTTGTTTCAGAGAATGGTGACATTTAAGTCTAAAGTTTAAATTATTCCTTTGAGATCTACTCATTTCTCTGAGTTATCGCCCATATATGCAGGAGGTATATGAAGGGGACCCCCCCCCACAAAAAAACCCAGAATTATCTTTTTGGAGGGCAGGTCCCTTGTAATACACTCAGAATTTCGGGAACATTAAGATTCCTTCAGACCAAATGGTCAACCAAAGTTTTTATCTGGAAGTTTTGAGAAGGCTGTGTCATGATTTGTGGAAGAAATATCCCGAGTTGTAGCAAACAGGTGACTGGTTCTTCTACCTTGACAACGTACTTGCCCACACTGCACTGAATGTTCAGCAGTTTTTGGCCAAAATCAGCATGATTCCCATGCCCCTCCCCATTCACCCAAAATTGTACCAAGCAACTTTTTTTGTTTCCCCAGATGAAAAAAAGTCCTAAAAGGGAAACATTTTGCCAATGTAGAAGAGGTGAAACAAAAAATAGCAGAAGCTGTTTTAAAGCACCAAAATTGATGAGTTCAAAACTGTTTTGAGCAGTGCAAAAGGTGTCTAGATAGGTGTAGTGCATCAAATAAAGAGAATTTTGAAGGTGACTGAAGTTTTTTTTGTTTTTGAGTTGGAGCCTCACTCTGTTGCCCAGGCTGGAAGGCAGTGACACACTGCTCAGGGCCACCTCAGCCTTTACCTGCTAGACTCAGGTGATCCTTCTGCCTCAGCCTTCCAAATAGCTGGAACTACACCACGTCTGGCTAATTTTTCTTGATTTATTGTAGAGGCAAGGTCTCACCAAGTTGCCCAGGCTGGTCTTGAACACCTGGTCTCAGGCAATCCTCTCACCTCAGCCTCCCAAGGTGTTAGAATTAGGCATGAGTCATGGCACCTGGCTGAAATTTCAACATGTAAGAATAAATACATAATTTTAAATAAATAAGTTCCCAGTGGTTTTTTTTTGGAGGGGGGGGTCCCCCCTTGTATGTGTTATTAAACTTCTATTTGTTTTTCTGTTAGTCTGACTTTTTTTTTTACAGGGTGTTCCAGATAAGAACACATTAAAGATGAAGGAGAAAATTATTTTTCCTCCCCTATACTACAAGCAACATTGAGAGAAAGGGTATACAAATATAAACCTATTTACCACCGAACACAGAGGCTTTAACCATATAAACATAATCATTTCAACTCCAAGTAGCTTAGGGTCTACACTCCTCACAGAGATGATCACTCTTTGCTCCTGTCAGAACTGAAGGAGAAAGTAGACATCAGAAAAGCATCCAACGTTGACTTGGGCAGCCAGTTCTCAATGTAAGGATCATAAAATCCTAAGCCAGTGAATTAGGCATAAAACACTAGTTGAGTGTCTTAAAGTTGCCAGGTATAGGTGTAGACAATGAGGATTCAGCTTTAAACAAGAGTGTCTGCCATTAAGGAGCTCCCATTTTAATGGAAAAAAAAGAAAGCTTACATTAAAACTTAAAAGGCTATTTCAGTAGATCATGTAGATTAATATTTTTGGTGGCACGTGAAAACTGTTAGCCACCTCCCAGGCAGTTTATTCAGGGGGGTAAAGAAGACTGAATGAATTATTGATAGAAGCTGACCCAGTTACAAAATTCAATTCTCACATTTTTGTCTAGTTGCTAGGGCTAGCGTCATTGCCTCTGTCCTTTGGTAACAAACAAAAGCAGGATGACATCATTTACAGGGAGATAATGAAGACCCAGAGAGTATAAAATTACAGAGCAGAAAACAGAGGATCAAGGCTCTATGTTCACTTTTATCACTTAATATTCACGGGAACTTAGGTAATTCACTTAAAAGTCTTTAAGCCTGATTTTCTTAATCTATTCTATCCATTTCATAGAGTTTTAAAGAAGCTTTAATGAAGCAATATACAATAAAAAGACTTGAAAATGTTTAAAACATTGGACAAATGCTAACTATAATTGCCTAATCAAAATGTTTATAGGAAGACTCAAATGAGAAGAGACAGAAGTAACTACATCAAGACAAAAATGAGTCCCTGCTCCTGTGTATTAGCTGTTTTGAAATCTTCACTTCCATTCCACTGTCCAAAAGACATTACCTTTTGGAGGAAATGGATCCCAAAAAGTGATGCTGGGGTTTACAGGGTCCTTTTTAATGATTACCCTCAACTAAGCCAGATTAGAAAATTACTTTCTGAAAAAATTTTCATTTCTTGGTATACTGCCCCATGATTAAATGTCCTTACTTTATGAGTTATTCTTACACATTATTTGCAATTAGGAGGGAGGAAGTTAAGTATGAAGTCACCTGAAAGGACATAAGATGGAGTTAATGTACCCAATGAGCAGTCATTTTAACATTGCCTAGATTTGTCATGTTTTTCTGGCAGTTCACTTTAATTTACCCTCTAATCACGAGTCAAGGACAGAACTGATTTCTCAGAGGTAGCTATTGAGAGTTGCTTTACAACCCCTCTCCAGCTTGTTTCATAAGCAAGTTAACCTAATCAGCTCTTCATGACCTTCATGATACAGACCCCATCAACATGGCAAAAAAATCATGTGATAAAACTACCCATCTGCATTCTGTCCATCACCTGACGTTAGTACCTGTGTTTACCTGCCCTCCGTGACAATACGGAGCAGACCACCACCCAATACCTTAATAACCTGCCCTCATCAAACAAAGTAAAAGAATTCAACCTGGAGCAACCAACCATTTGCCATTGCTTTACTGTAAGCTCTGATGTGGCTACATGCCCTGGAACTATGGCCACCGCCATGTTTCCTAAGCTTTGGCCTCCTCTCCTACATTGGGGAGGTGAATCTCCTCTTTCTCGCTAATTTATTTTTGAAATAAACTATATTTTCTAATCTTATTGCTGTGCAATTCTTTGCATCTTTCATGCAACACCGGATCGCAGACACCCCCGTCGGGTCTGACCTAACATCATCTTTCTTAGCTATGAAGACACTGATTATCAAGCACCTTGATAATCTCTCTTCTTCTTGGAATACTGCCCTTCTGGGTATCTCCACAGTCACCACCTTAAATTCAATTGTTTGTGGGCCAGGAGGACCAAGCCGAGTTAGAGCTACCTGAGGCAACATGGGGAGAGGTGAGGAGCAGTGGGACCAAAATGGTGAGCACAAGTATCATTTCTCAGCTCTAGCTTGTTGTTTTTAGAAAAGTGGGCCCAGTGTTGTCAGGCCTTTGTTATTTCAAAAGTTTCCAGATACTATACCCCCAAAATTATTTTATTTGCAAAATGTTTGTAGTCATCTATATCGTGTGTGTGTGTGTGTGTGTAGAGAGAGAGAGATAGATATGGAGAGAGAGAGAGAGTCAAGGTCTTACTATGTGGCCCAGGGTAGTGCAGTACAGTGGCACAGATCACGGCTCACTGCAGCCTCAACCACCTCGACTCACGTGATCCTTCCACCTCAACCTCTTGAGTAGCTGGGACTACTACCATACCTGGCTAATTTTTTGATTTTTTTGTAGAGATGAGTTCTTGCTGTGTTTTCCAGGCTGCTCTTGAACTCTTGGGCTCAAGCAATCCTCCTGTTTCAGCCTCCCAATGTGTTGGCATTATAGGCATAAGCCACCGTGCCGGATCAAGGCATACTATAAATTGAACAATATCAGAGCTTGATGCCCCAAAATATGCTTCCTTGACATAGGATTTTTTTTTGAACTAAAGGCAACCGAGCAATAGCAAGCATAGAAAAATTCTCTATTTGAATAGAGGCAGATCATATATTTCCCTTTGTGAAATGTCCCCCACTTTTGTTTATTTATTTATTTAAAACTTTATCTTAAAATTTTGGTTACAGTTTCATTTTTTTTCTTAACAAGTCTACTGTTTAATCTCTCAGGATTAAAAAACAGTTATTAAGATTCTAAAGAATTAAACAACAAAGGAATGTCAAGGGAAGGGCACAACTGCCCTGTTCTCAGGGGTGCAACTGCTATTCCAATTTAACGCCTAGCTTCAAAACAAAATGAATTTTTATATTCTCTAAATGAAATAATGTACAACCACCACTTTCATCTGATGTTATTATAACTTTCAAACACTAGGTTTCATTTTAAGCTAGGTTAAGAGAAAAAAAACCAGGAATGATGGCTGACCTTAATATGTAGGGTGTACCTTACAGGAAATTTTAACAATCATAACACAGTAATAATGCCATTAGTAATGAAGTCCTCAATTTAGAATCTGGAACGTTCTTCCATCAATGGGGGGGAGGGGAAAATTCAGTCCAATGAGTTTGTCTCAAGATCTTCATCTCTTGTTTGCTCCACTTGTGTTCTCTTTTCAGAAACTGGATTAATGCTTTGAGCCCAAAATGAGATATATTTTTATTACTGTAGATTACATGTTGTTTGGTGCTCAGTTTCCATTTGTTCCTCTTGCTTGCGTTTTCGAGCTGCTGCCTCTTTCTCATGTTGACCTTTCAGCATATTTCTTCTGTGAGCAGTCTGAAAGTTTCTCCCACCTTTTCTCTTCTTTTCACCTTCTTGATCTTCTCCTTCTTTAGAATCAGAGGTTGATGTAACCACTGTTTTAGCTAAATTTTTCCTTTTTGATTTGACTTCCTTCTTCTCCTCTTTTTTGTCTGGCTCCTTTCTTGGCTTATCTTCTTCCTTTTTAAGCTGCTTTTTAGGTTGTTTTTCCTCTTGCCCCTTTTTCTTACTTTTGTCTTCTTCAGGAACTATGTCACTCTCTGAAGGACAGGGTTGTTTTACCATTTTGGGTCTGCCTTTTGGTTTTGGAATCTTGACTTCTGTAGCTGCAGGCCGTTCTCTTATAGGACTCACTTTTAGATTAACAGATGCCGTTGCTGGCGTCACTACTTCTGCTTCCTCCGTTTCTACTTGCTTTTCTGCCTTTCTCTTTCTCCCTCTTCTGGCAGCTTTTGCAGTGGTTATGTCAACTGCTTTAGTCACATCCTCATTGCTGCCTTTTTCTTCATGGTCAGTATCTTCCTTTGAAACACTAGTTTCTTTTTCTTCAACTTCAACATCAGATGATGCATTTGATTGTTTAGCTGATGCCTGTTGACTTGAAAATTTCACTTTTGGATTGTTATCTATCTCCCATAAACCTTCATTAAAACCTTTTCGTTTATTTGGTTTGCCATACTTTTCCTTA